TTTTTTTTTTTTTTTTTTTTTTTTCAGTGAATTATGGGTCAGTCATAAATATAAGCTTCTAATTTATTTTGCAACTTTTGCAATTTCTTTTTTCCTTTGGGTGTCGTTGTTGTTAAATGTTTTTAAAATCTTGCTCGTTCTTGGGAAAATTATATTTTCAAAGATAAGAATCATTACTGTCATTACCGCTTAAAAATATAGGCTCTTCGTGTATTATAGTTTTTTATGAAGTAAATGATTTTATTTTGTTTTTATGTCGTAGATTACAATCAGTTGAATTATTTATTTGTTTCATTTATGTTTCGTTTTCCAGTGATAAAACTGTCACATTGTTGACTTCGTACTCTCTCTTCGCTCTCCAGCAAATTGTCGCTCTGGAATTGTATAAACCTTTCTGTGGTTTCAATCGCTAAAATTACTTTTTCAGGGCTTCTAAGTACTGCCTTTGGAATTTCAGTTACGATTTTCGACTAACAGATGGGCAGAGATTCGTGTAGAGTCTATAAACGAGATCCAGCACATAGGTTTGTTGCTTTCTAATTTAGCTATATTCTTAACAGCGCAGCAGAAAAGGTATTATTTATGAGACTTACGGTAGTTTTTCTTCCAGTTTTCTAAAGTTTTCAAGAAAACTAGGAGTATCGGTCTTTCGGCTGGTGTCGGAAGCATTTAGATAGCCTCTTATTGCTCATATTGAAAAAAATATGAAAATTTACAAGATTTCTTGATTCCTTTGGTTGTTTTTCGAAAGGATGGTGTGGAGAAAGGAGAAGAAGGTTATCTAGCAAATTTAAAGAAGGGGTACCTGATAAACTAGGAGTTTCTGTGAGGATTTGAGAAAATGTTTTATTTTTTCACTTGGCTGGTTTTGATGTGTTCGCAAAACAATTATGATCTGCCGTCAAAACTGAGGCAACGAAATAACTGCTATCATCCGTTTCTTAGCCGAAAAACGTCAGTAGATCTTAATGAGAAGTACCTTGCGATTATACTCGGCAGTTTATTTGGTATTAGTGAAATAGAATCGGTTTTTGAAGCAGCAAGATGGGTCTTTTTTTAGGCGAAATGTCACTAAACTTAAAGTGGATAAAAACTTTGATCGTTTATTTAAAGGTGGCACTTAAAAAGGCAGAACTTGTTCTACTCATTCTAACAGCCGTCACCTTTTCTAAAAATGAATTATTCAGATGGCTTATGAGGTTTTTTATTTCAAGAGGAACAAAATAGTTCTAACAGGATGAAAGTTTTTTTGTATACCTCTGTTTGAATGCATGTAATACAACTAATTCTTGTTTTTTAGAGTGTTTGTTAATCGGAACTTAAGATTAGAGAAGATAAAGTTTTTTGGCTTTGATTTGGATTATACTTTAGCAGGTTTGTTTGCCATTTTGATGATTATTATACCAAATTTTTTTATGCTTAAATTATAGTGTTAAAATTCTTTCAGTTTATAAATCACCAGAGCTTGAAAGTTTACTATTTGAGTTTGCAATTGAACGCTTAGTCGAAATCGGATATCCGGATGGGCTGAAAAGTCTTCAGTATAAGCCCGTTTTTCCACTAAGGGGACTGTGGTTTGATGTACTTTATGGGAACCTTCTGAAAGTCGATGGTTTCGGCAACATACTTGTTGGCATGCATGGATTTCGTTTTATGAAACCGTAAGTATCATATTGCAGTTGTTTTCATCTTTTCGCGACGTTTCAGTTTTATTTTGATTTAAAGATTTCACGAAGTCTAGAGTAGTGTTCATTGTTTAGCAAAACAGGCAGCGGCTAATTGTCGGATCGTCAGAGAAACAGAGTTGGATTGTTTGTATGAGATCTAAAATTTTTAAAACAATTTTCTGCTCTGAGCAGTACATTTAACTAAAAGTTTCTGAATTAATTATTTCCTCGTCAGTATACTTTTTTTTCAGTACGGAAATTGCCGAACTTTATCCAAACAAGTTTTTACAGTTTACCGCCAATCGTATCTACGTGTTTGATACTCTCTTCAGTCTTCCTGAAATTTATCTGGACGCTTGTATCATTGACTACTTTGATGGAAGTCAGAATTATGTCCAGTATGTATAGATTTTGTTATTTTTAAAGCAGATTTTTTTGTGAAATATTCTGGTAATTTTTCTTTTAAAATTTAAATGGAATAACGTGGGGAAAAAATCAGCATTTTGTGCAAACTAGAAAGCCGGCGGACGTTCATACAGCTGTTTTTACCTTTGTAAATATCTTTAAGTGGTCTTTGCACTTCTATTTGTCTCATCAATTTAGAGTAGAAGATTTTACGGGCATTAAAAATGGTGAGGTCTTTATGTCGTATCATTCTATATTTCAAGACATTCGTGAGGCTTTTGATTGGGTTCACCAGAGCGTATGGTTTTGCATTTAATTCATTTTCTTGTAGCTGCTTGACATTCGCTTACGTCTGTAGCTTCAAATATCATAACTGACGCAACTTTGTAGGTAGAACGAAATTCTGTTGCGTTGGTGTCATGAATATATTAAAAACTTTTTAAACTGGCATGAAGGAATGCTTTTGTAATTTTGTTAATGACCAGCAAATATTTTTTTTAAAGTCTGACGCAAAAATCCCAAAAAGTGATTGCAGGAAGCTTCGTACAGCATTTTTCTTAGAATTCATTGTTTTTTTTTTTTCAGAGGAAAGTGAAAGACACGGTTTGGCAGAATCCCGAAAAATATGTCACGAAAGATGAACGTTTAAAACCACTCCTTCAGCGAATACGGCAGTATGGAAAGAAATCGTTTTTACTGACAAATAGTGACTATCATTATTCAAATGTACGAAAGTTTTTTAATTTTCACTTTAACCTTTTTCATAGTCTCAATTTGTTCTTTGATTTTTTTGTAGAGGGAAGTTGAGATAACTGTGTACATCTAGGCTTCTGCTGTAGTGGCCGTGTATTATTCTGTGACTCATCTAGGGTATCATGAATTATTTGCTTGGGCCTAATTGGGCAAATTACTTTGATTTTGCTGTGGTTGATGCTCGGAAACCAAAGTGGTTTGCTGAGGGGACGGTTTTTAGAGAAGTGAACACGAATACAGGAACTGCTAGAATTGGTATTCATACAGGACCCTTAGAACAAGGGAAAATTTACTCCGGAGGTTATTTTGTGCTTTTTTCACATTGTGCATTTTAAGACACTAATAGGAAGTATTTAAAATCAGGAGTCACCTTTGTTTAAACGTTTCCTGCTAAGCTAAGAAGCTTTTTAAAAGATTTTTCCTTTGGTTGTCAGGATCTTGTGAAGCATTTCGCCGGCTAGTAAAGGCAGTCGGTCGAGACGTATTATACGTAGGCGATCATATATATGGTGACGTATTAAGGTCTAAAAAGGTTTGTAGTTTGGAATACGCTGGAAGCTTCTAACTTTTGGTCATGAAAATTATTTTCTTCTTTTGTCTTTTTCTCGTAATAGTGCAAACGACTGAAATCTTTGTAGACGCGGGGATGGCGAACTTGTTTAGTGGTACCGGAACTTGCCCAGGAATTGACTGTGTGGACAGAAGGGAAACCAATTTTTGACCAACTACAAAGTTTGGAATCTCGGCTTTCCAATACGTATAAGGATTTGGACAGTAATGCTAAAGAAAAACCACATGTTGATGATATAATTGCTGAGATCCGGGTATTAGCTGTTACGTTTTCTTGTCATCTTCCCTTGAAACTCTTGTACCTCTGTTAACTTGTTGGTTCTGGTATACCAGACCATTTTGCAGAAGATAACTTATAACATGGATAACGAATATGGTATGTTGGGTTCAGTTTTTAGAAGCGGGTCACGAACGACTTTTTTTGCTGCACAGGTTGTTCACTTTTTTATGAAAACGCTATTAATATAAATGTCAAACTGCTCCACACAATAAAGTTCCTTTCTAGAACAGTTTACTTACGTTTTTTTGAGCATATTTTGACAAAACAGCTATTTATTACTTGGAATAGAAGCGCGTTCCGCTTAGTTATAAATCCCTAACCCAAACTGCGTTTAAGGTCGCCTGTCATTTATGTTTTTCAAATGCATGGTTTCAACGGTTGGGGTCATTTTTTGCATTTAGAAACCATCTCTATCAAATGTGGGGCCTCCATTCTGTGGTGAACGGAAAGCTAAAAAAATGCGTGCTTTGTGATCTCTATGGTTCTTAAATATTTCGTTTTTTAGGTGGAACGATATGCAGACTTATACGCTGCCAACTGTTGCAATTTGTTTCATTATCCTTTGTTTTATTACTTTCGTGCTCCTATGTCACTGTTGCCTCATGAATCAACAGTCGAACATGATGCTGTCATACAAGAATACAACTACCCCGGAAAACTAATACGGCAAACATCTGTTCGGGAAGAAAGTGAGATTATCTATAAGTCATTTTGCTTAAAGATACTTGCCATAATGACAAGTGCTTAGGCATATATTACTCTATTCGAATCCTCTGTGTTAATCACTTTGAGTTCCCTAGTTTTCTAGGTTTTCAAACCTTCCAGCATTTAATTGTTGAAGCAGTTTCTAGAATCTTCACTGTTATAGTAGCTATGATTCAAATTTAGTTCGTGGTCTAAAAACACAGCCAACCTTCTGCCATGAGGAAGACGAAGACGAAAGCAGTATTACTAGTACAATGGCGGAAAACTGTAGACAAATTAGCGAGGAAGAAACGTTGACGCTGGATAATAAATTTGGAAGTTCTGATGTCGCAGCAATTAGTCCAAATTCTAAGTGATAAGTAGCAGGAAAGTTAAATTCATTTTGGTTTAAAGGAATTGAGTCAGCATATAATCGTAGATGCTTACCAAGACATTTTTTAATATTTTCTTCTCGATATATCATGAGTGAGTAATGGGGCATTAAAAGAAATAAATAAACTGCAGGTAAACTTGTTAGGCTGTAAGATTAAGTCAGGTTTCTTTTCAAGTTTTTAGGATATTTTTTCTTGTATAATTGGTATTTTTCTGATGACGTTGTACAGTTTTTTTTTCCTTGATAGGTATGATCTGTTACAGAGCTTATTTTTTTTAAAATTAACATTTTGTTGTTATTCTCGATGTCTTGTCGAGTAACATAAATAGTACATTGCTAACTTATGACTATGTGAAACTGACAATCGTTCTATACTTTGCATAACATTCAACTCAGCCATTTACACCCTTTGTTCACCTTGCTTTTGTATGCTCATCCTCTTTTATCTGCAAGTGGTAGGCGATAAAGCCTGCTTTTTTTTGCCGTTTAAGTGTCGGTTAAAAAATACGATGCTTAAAGTTTCCATGGTTTAGAATATGTTGTCGGAAAATGAAAAAAAAATTATTTTTAAACTTTAACGTCCAAGGGGAAAAGAATGAGACGTTTTTTTCAAAAGACTGAGCAGTGAATAGCCTAAGCGTCAATTTCTTTCTTTATTACCAATCATTTTTCTAACTACTTATGTCGTTCAAGTTATTTGCAGAAAATAATTTAGAACAGGGGAGAAAGTCATGTAGTGGATACACCAAACTGTTCATTTCCGAAAATTGAAGCTAAGACTTAAGTTTTTTTTTTAATCAATGCGGTTGATGTTTAAGAATGATTCCGAAATGAAGGTTTGGTATCTGGTAGGCAGAAGCAACTAAATTTTACTGCCTTTTTTTGACTCCATGAAGGAAGTGATTTTCAAAACCACACAGTATAACGGCAGACTAGGCAAACGAAACCAGCGGATTTTTGTGAATCTGCCTGTTAGCACCAGAACAAATGAGTGTTGAGAGAAGTTTGGCTCTTTGTGTGAAAACAGCTCTGCGTCTTAAAAAGTGCCCTCTTTGGGCTGCGGCAGTGCTTCTGCATTAGTTACTTTTCATTCCTAAAGCCAACACAAGTTAACAACGAACAGCAACATGCCACAGCCTGTGCGAACATGAAATAACACAAAAAGAAATCCATATGGTAAAATCTAATTGGCTTAGTAACGAGACATTCGGCTGTCTTGTTAAGACACTTGACCGTTTAATACGACTCTTTTATCGCCTTGCAATAGGACTCTTTATGCACCAGTCCTCTCCCCTTAATAATACATTTCTGACGAACAGTTTCACTATCGATAAATTTCACTACTTGATATCGCTTTCAGAAGACAAAGCTAAGACAGTAGTCGATTGTTTACCGAGATGCGGAAGATATGTACATGAGAGCGTTAGGCATTTAAGAGAAGAGGTTTGGAAGTGAGAAAGAGCGTCACCAAGCTTTTTACCAAAGGTTAAGAAGCTTACCCCAATGTAAAAAAAGAGCCAGTTTAAGGACGACTGTTGAGAAGGTAGACCGTATCATCCAGCAAACTCTGGTTTTAAAAGTCACGGTGGATGAGGTAGCAGTGATGACAGTTTTACGGGAAAGTTGCCTATAGAGATCGTTTTTGAACTGCCAATTCTCATGTTGGAAAGAATCGATGTATGGAATACAGAAATTATGTTGCGTGAACTGTATTTTATATTGAAGGCAGAGGAGAGAGTAGGTTATAACTTCTTTAGCAGTTCTTGAAAACCAGCATACCGAAGAGGGTTCCAACCGGCTGAATCTTGAGCGATTTATGCTGTTACCGAAAAACGCAATAGAACGCCTAAAAAAAACCTTGTGTTTTTTTAGGGGCGGTCATTTTAATAGTGACTGTACCGTTTATAAGACACTGGAACGGAGGGAAATAAAAGCGTGCGAGTTAGTCTATGCATTTGGCGCTTGAGATCAGGATATCGATCAACAATTGTGAAATAATTAAAATTTGTTACTGCTGTGAGAGCGATCATAACAGCGCTTTTCGTGAACGATTCGGTAATCAACCAACTACTTTCGGTGCTCCAATGGTGCTGTCATCAGTCTTCTAAGAAAGAAACTAGTGCAAAAGTTACAACAGTGGTAACAGAGAGCGTTTTAAGTAATGATATGAAGGAAGTACTGTTGCCATTCACTGAGGTAAAGGTTAGTAATCTTTTAAAGGAGACTCTAAATGCGGAAGTTTAAGTTTTGCTGGGTAGTGGAAATCAAAGATCGTTTGTGATGGATAAATTGGCAAGAGAGCTTCAAGTTCTGCTGCAGGACAACGACAGATTAGTCCTCCGTATAATTGCTGCACGAGAAAAAACACGAGCTCTACCTAAGACTGAGATAAATCTGCGTTTGTGCTATGGAGTGTTAAGAAAATTGTGCCTGAATGTTATTAAGAACATGATAACAAGGTTAAGCACACGCGTAGTCGATAACATCGGGATCACGTTTACAGATCAAGCAGTGTGTTGATTATTGTTGGGAAGTGATGAATCTAGGTTTAGCGAAAACACCGGGTTGGTTTGATGTGTTTCTTCAAAATTGGGTAAAGTAGTCACGGGTAAGCAAATAAATGAATCAAATTGGAATAGTGTCACTAATAACGTAATTGCGTATTATACGTCAGCAGAAACATTAGCACGGTTTTGCGATTTAGAAACATTAGGAATAAAGAGTCGCGTAATGTAAATGAAGAAGATGTGGCTTCAAAACAATTTTATAAGATCTTATAACTTAACGATCAGCGTTATGTTGTGATCTGACCATATACCAATTTTGATTCTCTTATGATGGGCGATCATTCCTTTTGGTATTCTAGCTTTGAGTCGGTCTTAAATCGTTAGAGTAAAGAAGAGTTGTTGGACAAGTACGACGAAATTATAAAGGATCAATTTTCTACAGGAACTGTTGAAGAAGTAAAGGACAACGTGCCGAAGAACCATGTGTCATACTTGCTACACCATCCAGTGATAACGCCAAATTGCAAAGGACAAAAGTAAGGCTCGTTTACGATTCAGCGAAGTAAAGCAAAACTGCGTTAAGATTAAACGAAAGTCTGTATTGTTGACCCGTAATGTTACCAAAGTTATGCGGCATTTCATTACAATTTTGGACATATAAATATGGCATAATAGCGGACATCGAAAAGGTATTCTTGCGGCTTGAACTTCATGGGAGGTATTGGGAAATAGCGTGCTTTTTTTGGGCGAAGGACTCACAAATGGGGCTGTCCTCAAGGAATTTAATTATATGTCGGTTTTGCAGAATAGCGTTTAACGTTGTATCAAGTCCGGTTCTTCTGACTGCAGTGGTTAAGTACCACTTACATAAGGAGATTCGGGAGGCTCGTCGTGAAGGCAAGGTTGAAGAGGTTGAAGCGTTACAACAGCTACACAACTAAACCTATGTGGATAACGTAATTTCGGGAAGCAGGATCCCAGATAAGATTAGTTTCTTATATAACTTGGTTAAGCGAATATTTGACAGAATGTCGTTCAGTATGCGGGCATGGGCTTCTAATGTTTCTAAATTTAGCGAGTCGATACCGGAAAGGAATTTGGACAAAGCTAAGATACAGAAAGTTCTAGGGATCGCCTGGCAGTTAGATGAAGATGAATTATAAATTAATGTTTCTTCTCTTCTCTTTGATAATTTCCCCATCTTCGGGTCTTTTCACATTTTGAGACAAAGTATGCTTTTCCCCTCATTGGAATTGTAAAAATAAAAATGAAAATGAAAGTGAATGAAGGTAAAGCAAAGGGAAAGTAAAAATAAAAATCAGTAAAGAAAAAGAAAAAAGAGAAGGAATACAAAGAAAAAACTTTGGCACCCACCGCATAGATAAAGACTATTATAATACTGGTGATTTCCAATAGAGAGAGACAACTAAATTAAAAGAATCACAAAAAACGAAATCAAATTCATCGATAACTAGTCCAAAAAAATTAAAAATGTTTTTGCTTATCTGTAGTTAAAATAAAGCGTTTTCTACGTGGCTTGTTGCTCGTCTCCAGCCACCAGTAAAATTCCTGTACTGTCGTCATGCATTCGGGTGCCTATCCAAATAAAATAAAGTCAATATTCTTATTAACATTTTCTACGTTCGCTCTCGTTGTCACTATAATAACGAAGTCGCGCTCTCGTTCGTCATACAGATTTACAGTGTAGACCTGACATTCTGGTTCTAATGCCATTATTCTTTTTGCCGATCCAATTTCAAATATAACGTAATACAGTAATATTGGCATCCGGGAAATGCAGCGCTACATACTGCTACATTTTTACTGCTGCTTTGTTATAAAAGTCATTAACTTGGTTTCAATCAAGTGTCAGATAATCACGACCTGTCGTATCCGGCATCAGAATCAGCACGTTTGAGCTCAGGTACGGCAGGCTTAAAATCTTCTACTTCATTCGGTCGTATATTCTCTGGAATGGGACTAGTTAAGCATTATATACGGCAGCTGAGAGCGCTTTAACTCAAACATCTTCTCATCCAGGATAATGTTGTAGTACTGATCCAGCTCAAGTTTGGTCAGTAACATTTTTATTCCGCTTCGGTATAGCTACGCGCTTGACGACTCAATCCCGATTCTCATTTTCTTAAACCTGTTTAGAGACTTAAGAAAGTAGTAAAATAAGCAAAACAGTTTTTAATCTT